GGAAATACAACCAAATGGTAGCTTTGACAGTCACGTGGCCTGTAGGGAGAAATCAAGGATGTCTCATGAGAATAGCTTTGCCAGCCACATATTGGATCTGGGGACTGGGAGGACAGCATGATATTGGAGTAATCATTCGAGGGCAGCAACAAAAGTAATTAAAGGTCAACACAAAAACATAAGCAATTTATACATGATCTTTTAAGGGAAGACATTCTGCTGCAGAGCAACCACTGGGCCTAGAGCTTCATTTCTGACTCTGCCACTGTGTGATCTTCCAACGTGACTTAATGTTTCTGGATATGAATTTCCTTAACTACAAAAATCTGGAGCAAAACTGAATCTTCTCCAACTTCTTTCCCATTCTAATACTTTTTGAATTTACAACTCCTCTCCTTCCTTAGGATGGACACATGCAGTCACCAAAATGGGCAATTGCTTAGTCATTCTTTGAACATTATTATGATCAACGTATTTCCTGTACATAAACATGGATTTATCCAACTAGGGTTACCAGGTCAAACACAAAACACAGTTAAATTTGCATTTCATAAAACAACAAATATTTTTAAAATGCTTGTATAACTATGTCCCAAATACTGCATGGAACATACTTACAGTAAAATATTATTCATTGTTTATCCAAAATGCATTTTTTTGCTAAATATTGTACCCTACCTCTGGCCCACATTAAAAGTTCAATTTTAAAAATCAAAAGTCTGATTCCATACATGTGGGTGGTTCTAAGACTGGCTGAGGCACAAAATGGGAAACCTCCTCAAGAGAAGCATGTCTAGAGACCAAAAAAAAAAGGAAAGAAGAAGAGCTTTCAACATTCCTCTTGAGTAAATGAAGCAGTAAATAAAATGCCTGTTATCAGACCTCACTCATAGAAGAAAAGGAAGGTGGCGTGCCCTCTGTACAGAATGAACAGACAGGAGGCCAAAACACACTGCATGCCCCTGCTCCCACATCTCACCCTGTGGACGCCAAGTTAATTACACACCCTTTATCTCTTCCTCCAACTCAGTGTTCATGCCTGCTTCCAAGGTAATCAGCTTAAGGGAAACCAGATCAGAAACTCAAGCTTCCTGACCAAGAGGCAGAGGCATAAGTATGATCCAAGCAAAAACAGCACAAGGCATACAAAATGAAGGCAATGAAAGGAAAAAATCACTCTCTTCAGAAGGCAATCTTATTTTAACAATAACAAGACACTCTTGCTTCTTAGGGGCTCACTCTTTATTGTTTTTTTTTAATTTCAGCTTCGTTGAGGTGTAACTGACATATAAAATTGGGATTTTTTTTAAATAACAATAAAATTGTAAGTTATTTAAAGCATGTATAGTGGTGATTCGATATACAATGTGAAAGGATTCCCTCCATAGTTAAATAGGGGCTCACACTTCAACAATCAAGCACTTCTTTGTTTTTGAAAAAACAAACCTATCAAATCTATCATAATTTATTAGGAAAATAGATATCATATATATGTAAAAATAGTTCTTTTTCACACATCACAGGGAAGATATAAGTAGGGTACATTCCAAGATAAGTTTAAACAACAATGGAAGGCAGGTTCAATTTTAAAAATAACATAGAATATTAATTACCATACCCCGTAGGTCAATTAATTCAATTATCACTGGGAAAGAGCAGCAGGAAAGCCCACTTAACCCTATACTGCTGCACCAGCAGCAGAAGGAGGAGGCAACCTGGAGGTATTGGCTAAGAAAAATTAAATGTATAGACTAGAAGTTTCCAATGATGAAAATAAATCCAGGCTTATCATTAGCTTATTGGTACATTTAGCAAGAGTTTATTGAACACTCCTTTTTGTTTAAGATACCTTGCAGGATAAGTCTCAAAAATGAGCTGAAGTCATGCTTGGCCTCCAGGATATTACAATCCATCATGGAAATAAGGACACATAAATAAAAGCACATAAATAGTTGACAGTCTAAAGTAGTCATTTAATCAAGAAATGAATTTCTATTTCTTGAATTTCCAAGGAATTTCATTCTCCCCCTAGACCAGCACAAGAGACGGAATCACTGGAGTCAGATACTGAATGTCCCCACCCACGCTCTCCAGGCTGCAGAGAAGAAGGTTCCCCACTGCGACTGCGGGAAGAGCGGAGCCCTCTGCTTTCTACTTGTTTTATCTTTCCATTTCCAAGGAGGACAAGGCCATTATCTAGAGGGAAAACAGGAGGACAGAAGAGAAGACACTTAGATGTTAGTGTAACTATGGACATCGCTTCTCTTAGATAAAATGGGAAGGAATGGTGAGGAAGAACGAGCAGAGCGATATCCATTTCTCAGTCTCCCACTCCCTTTTCAATCATTCAATACATTCTTTGAGCGCTTACTAAGCCAGAAACCATTCTAAATGCTATGCACACCATAGTAAACAAGAAAAATTCCTGACATTCATGGAGCTTATAGTCTATCAGTTGGAGACAAATTATGTGTGTGTGTGTGTGTGTGACAGATAGACAGACAGACAGACAGACATGATAGTATTATAGATACTCTAAAGAAAAATAATGCAAGGTAAGGGAGCAGAAAATGATGGGAGGGGTGAGGGATGCTATTTTAGATGGGATGGTTCAAGGAGGCATATAATACAGAAATGACTTTTGACCTGAGTGAAATGAGTGAGAAAGCCATGCAAACATTTGGAGGAAGGGCATTCCAAGCAAAGGAAACAGCAAGTGCAAAAGTCCTGAGGCAGGCCTGGCTGAAGCAGAGTAGGCAAAGGAGAGTAATAGATGATGTAGCCATATACCATGTAAGGCTCGTAGGCCATGATGAGACTTTGTTTTTCTTTTGAGATAAAAAGCCATTGAAGAGTTTTGAGCAGAGGAGTGAGCAACTCCAGCTGCTGTGTTGAGAATAGACGGCAGAGCGGTGAGGGGTGGCAGCGGCAGCGGCGGGGCGGGGGGTGTTGTAGGAGTCTTTTGCAGTGATCCAGGTGACAGAAATGATAGGAACTTGCTGATAGCAGAGGCAGTGCTGAGGAATGGTTATTATCCTAGACATACTCTCAGAGAAGAACCAATGAGAGTTGCTGAGGGATTAGAGGTGGAAATGAGAGAAAGAAGAGAACCAGGAGTGACTCCTGAGTGTTTAGCCTGAGCACCTGGAAAAATGAAGTTGCTATTAACTGAAATGGGGGAGACTAAGGGAAAAGCAGATTTGGGATGGAAAAATCAAGAGTCTGTTTCCTACAGATTGTTGCCCACTCCAAAACCCTTACATCTGTCACAAAACCATGGCGAAAAAAATTGAGAAGAAATTGAGGATCCTAAATTTCATATGGAAATTCAAGGAATCCAGAATAGCCAGAGTAATCTTGAAAAACGGAACAAAGGGGAAGGACTCACGCTTCTCAATTTCAAAACTTACTACAAGGCTACAGTAATCAAGGCAGTATGGTACTAGAATAACACTAGACACATTGATCAAGGGGGTAGAATTTAAAGGTCAGAAATACACCCTCACATTTACAGTCAACTGATTTTCAGTAGATGCCCAAGACCATTCAAAGGGAAGAAAAAAGTCTTTTCAACAAATGGTATTAAGAGAACTAGATAGCAATATGAAAAAGGATCAAGTTGGACCCCAACCTCATACTGTATATAAAAACTAACTTAAAATGGATTAAAGTTTGAAATGTAAGACCTAAAACTATAAAACTCTTTGAAGAAAACATAGACATAAATCTTTATGACTTTAGATTTGCAATGTTTTCTTAGATTTGACACCAAGAGCATAAACAACAAAAGAAAAAATAAATTAATTATACTTCATTAAACCAAAACCAAAGAAGGCCATAGAAATTAAGGAAGAGAGGGAAGGAGAGGGGAGGGAAGGAGGGAGAAAGAAAGAAGGAAAGGAAGAAAGTGGGAACAAAAATAACATAAAATACAGAAAAGAATGATCTTCAGTCAAGTTCTTTCAGCACTATATTAACCTTTATTCATTTCCAACTATCTTCAGAAACCCTGTTTTCCAGACTGTGTTCCCCACCCCCAAAGCAAGTTTTTAAGAAGGGGGAAAAAAAGGAACAGAAACAGTGAAGCACCAACAAATTAAATCAGCAATAATTACAAAAAACTTTTATGGCATAGTGCTCCTCGCCCCTCCCAACATCTGATTGATGAGCCAGCCATGCAGTGGGACTCCATCCAGTAAAGGGAAAACAGCTGTTGGCCCAGAAGTATGGAAGAGAGCCCTGTGACAGAAGATTATGAGGCAGTGTGGCCCAGGTGGCCAGCAGGAACCAGAGGCCGGGAAGGCAAAGTCCAGGGCTCACAAGATTTCCTTCACTTGTTTAATCCGTGATCTTTTGGGACAGAGACAAGGCTTTGGCAATAGTTCTGAACTCTGTCATCACATCAGTACTGAAACCAGTCAATACCTGAGGGCCTGGCCAGGGAGAGTTTTCTGTCTGACTGGCAGGAGAAGAGACTCTCTCCTTCCCGGGCAGTCTGCTGTCCAGACCCAGACCAACCAAAGTGCGGTAAAAAACGTTCAATAATTCAACTGAAAACAGTAAAGAGGAGGAAAGAACTAGAGGTCAGTCCAGGAGGCCTGGGACCTTCTTCCTCTCCTCCCAGTGAACTTGCCTCGCCCCCGCTGATGGGGCCCCTCGCACCTGGATGCCATCCGCAGTTGACCTCAGCCCCCCGATCCCGAACCGGGACCACTACACTGCATCAGCACCTCGCGCCAAAGCAGACCCCTATTAGGGGCGGTTGTCATCGTCGGGTCTGCGCGATGGCCATCCAGGGCCTAGGAGCTGCAAAGCAACTTTTCTGGCCAGATCAGCCTCTCAGAGGCGGAGAGAGAAGAAGCCGCAGCCTCCAGCCCAGCGCCAGGGCTAGATGCACCGTTGGTCCGCTACCCAGCTCAGCCCTCTGGGATGAAGCGGAACCTGGCGGGCGCAGGTGGCCCGAGCGCGCCTGCCCGACTCACGGCAGCCGCCTGCCTCACCTGGCTCAGCCCGTCGTCCCCGCGCTGCTCTGCCTCCGTGCGCACTGCAGCAACCCGCTGCCGTCCTTTTTTGGGTCCTTAGCTGGTATTTTCCGTCTGGCCCCACATCACTTCCCGTAAAGGAGAGCGAGGTGGGGCGGGACCTCCTCTTCACCCTCCACCACCCGCTTCCTCCTGTCACCTCAGGGAGCACCCCCTCCCCCGCGCCCGACGCCGTGCCGGTGCTGGGGGCGGGGGAGGGGGCCCTCCGGCGCCGCTCCCAGGCCCGCTGCTCGCAGACTCGCTGCACCTGCTGAGTGGTCCTCTGAGCCACGGAAAGGTCCCGTTCGCCTCCTTGGGTCCCAGCCAGGTCTCCACTGCTCTTTCCTGGAAAGCGCGAAACCTTAGGTCGCTGTTGTCATTTAGAACACAGGGTGACTTTTGCAAACGGCTCCAGAATCCGTGAGCGGCGACGTGTGGTTTGGGGACTCTCGCCAAATCTCCTCCTCCAAAAGCTCTTTCTAAAGGTGTTTTCTAGGGCATCAGATCAGTGTCTCCACCTTGTAACCAGAAGTGCTGAGCAGCTGCAAAGTGGGCCCGCCCGAGGTTCGCGAAGCCCGGCGGACTGCTGGGGGCCCGCTCTGCGCGGGGTGTCCAGCTGTGCCATCGTCCATTCCGCCCCGCTGTCTCCTATTCAGGTAGGCCTGGGCATGGCCTTGCTGGGACGAGGGAAACCTCTGGCATTTTTGGAAATGATATGGGGAAAAGTAAATGAATTCCTGGAAGAAAATGACAAACGAGGTCTTTGGTCGTACAGTCTAGTTCGGATTATGAAATCATTCTAAATTAAAGTTCTAAGAGAGTGTTAGAACAAAAAAAAATTTTTTTAAAGGGCAAAAATTACAGTAAGGAGAAATCTGTGAGACTTTGCTGCCCCCCAGCGCTTCCTTCTCTCAGCGCCAGCGGGTTTGTGTGGCCTGCTTGGACCTGCGGCTGCGTAGGTTCAGGGCACCGGGTTTCCGCGGAGCGGCAGCCAAATTTCTCCTCCAGTGGTCTGGGTGGGTCTGAGCAGTGACCTTGAGCCTGCTCCTTTGGGCTCTCAGGCAAAGCACTTCTGAGCCAAATAATTCCACTTGTAAACAGAGCAAAATGACTGGAAGCCCTAATCCAGCTCCTCCTCTCATCTGTTCCATCTCACAGATGTGCCTCTACTTGCACCGCCAATTCCAGCAGTCCCACACCCACCTGCCCAACCCCATCGTCCTTCCCATCTGTAACTACTCACAGTTTGCATCACAGTACAATTAGCTTCTCAGATATGCATCTAATTTACAAAATCACACATAGAACAGGCTGTTTTAGGCTAAGGGTAAGACAGAAAAAGTGGCCCCATCCTGATGTGTAGAGAAAGATTACTGGGAGTCACTGATCAGCTAAGATGTGGGGGGCCAACAATGCAGCAACTGCTAATGGCTGATAAGATACTGGAAGCTCCCCCTCTTCGTCCGACCCCCCCCCCCCCCCGCATGCAGTTAGGGCTGTCACCAGGAGTTTGCCAGGCAGATCAGAAAACACAGTGGTGCTATGGCCCAGTCATTCCTTCAGTGAGTCAAGCACTCCATTAGGTGTGCTGGAGATGCAATAATGAACAAGATAAGTTGGTCTCTGCCCTTAAGGAACTGGAAAGACCTAGTAAACAGTTAACATCATTACAGTGAGACAAAATCTCTGGTAAGGGAGTAAAAGCCTGCCACCGGAGCACAGATAAACGACACCAAATCAAGACTTTCCAGAGAAAGTAATGCATAATTTTAAAAGTACGTCAAAGAAAACTATCAAGAGAGTAAAAATATGATCCGCAGAATGGGAGAAAATATTTACAAATCATATACCTGATAAGAATATAGTATCAGGCTATATAAGGAGCTCTTACAACTCAATAACAAAGAAGACAATCCAATTAAAAAGTGAGCAAAGGATTTGCATAGACATTTTTCCAAAGAAAATATAAAAATGGTCAATAAGCACATGAAAAGATGTTCATGTCATTAGTCATTGGGGAAAGGTACATCAAAACCATAATGAGATACCACTTCACACCCACTCAGTTGGAAAAAAAACTTTTTTTTTTTTAAAGAAAAGAAAAATAAGTTCTGGTTGGTGTCACCCAATAAGTTGAGCACTGGTCTGTGAACTGAATGGTCACTGGTTTGATTCCTGGTCAGGGCACATGCCTGGGTTGTGGGCCAGGTCCCCGTTTGGGGGCATGCAAGAGGCAACCAATTGATGTACCTCTTGAACGTCGATGTTTCTCTCTCTCTCTTTCTCCCTCCCTTCCCTTCTCTCTAAAAAATAAATTAGAAGTATTTTTTAAAAAAGAAAAATAAGTGTTAATGAGGACATGGAGAAATTGGAACACTCACACATTGCTAATGGGAATGCAAAATGATGCAGTCACTTCAGAAAACAATTCGGCAATTCTTCAAAAAATTAAACAGAGAATAATCATATGCCCCAGCAAGTCCATTTCTAGAAATATGCCCCCAAAAATTAAAAACCGGTATCCAAACAAATATTTGCACCTAACTGTTTACAGAGGCACTATATACAATCATCAAAGGTGGAAACAACCTAAATGTCCATCACTGGATGAATCAATAAACAAATTGTGGTATACACATGCCATGGAATATTATTCCACTATAAAAAAGATGAAGAGCGGTACCTCAGCCGTTATTTCATCCCGGAACTTGCGATGAGTGCCGAAACTGACACGTGGCCAGCAAGCAACTAATGATAAAGCATTTTCTCTTGCGGGGCAGTGTTATGACTCATACAAATTCTAGCTAGTGCAAGGACCCCAGGCAAGCGCCGAGTGCTAAAACATTTTTTTCTTGTCAAAATGCATTGAGTATAGGGTCCTGAAACCAATGAGTACCGAGGTAATTGAAGTACTGATACATGCTACAACATGGATGAACCTTGAAAACATTATTCTAAGTGAAGGAAATCAGTCACAAAAGGTCACTTCTTGGATGATTCCACTTATATGAAATATCGAGAAGAGGCAAATCCTTAGAGACAGAAAGCAGACTGGTTGCCAAGGGCTGGGCGAATGGGGAACATGTAGTGACAGCTATTGCACGTCGAGTTTCTTTTTGGATAATGAAAATGTCCTGAACTCGATAGCAGTGATAGCTACACAACTCTCTGAATGCAGTAAATGCCACGGAATTGTACAATTTAAAAAGGTTAATGGTTAATTTTTTATGTGAATTTTGTTTCCATTTTCAGAGAAAAACAATATTTGATCTAGGAGAGAAAAAGATGAGCCCAAAAATAAAGAAGTGCTCAAAGAATGGCATGCACCTGTCAAAAGGACACAGGGTCCATCCTGGGAGAGGGCTGTTCCTCAGCTAAGGACTTTTTTTTTTTTTTTTAATTAGGACTGTGAATATGTTGTTGTTTTTAAGCTACGTTAACAGAATTTTTCAAAAATGCCCACTGTGAACACTGTAGATGTCAAAGTATATTCTTAAGTATTTTATAAGAACTTATAATTTTTAGAAGTCTTGTTTTGTATTTGTTAAACTGAACGCAGTTTTTAGATAATGTTTAAATATTATTTTTCATATCTAAAATAAACATTTAAAAGAAAGACATCCTGCTAACCTGGCAGGAGAGATACCATGATTGTGAAAGCGGTCTTCCCAGCACATCCATTGCACTTCGGATGTGCTGAACCCTGTCATTCCCCCAAATGTGGAAAACTCCACTGCATAATTTGTGGTAGTAGGGGCCTGTGCACTCTCCCCTGGCTATAAAATAAAATATAAAAATTAAAAGAAAAAGACGCAGTTGCCATTTTGAAGGTGTTCTTACAGGCCAAATCTGGGACAATTTGAACATCAAAATAAATAGTGATAGTCAGGATTGGCTTCATGGTCATGCAATTTGTATGTCACATTGGGCTCTGCACTCAGAATTTAGTGTCCTGGAGTTACAATCACAGAATTCTCGATAATTTCATCTTTAAATTCATGTGTTGTAAGTGAAATGTGATGGCACAATAAAATATGCTGGGGGCATGGAGTCTGCTCACACACGGTCCTGACTCCTACAACTGCCCACCCCTCACCTCTTGTCCCCTGGGTTTTGCCCCACCTTGCATTCCCTGCCTTGTTTCAGGGCACTGACTAGGTCCCCTTGCCTGAGGGAAGCCCACATTCCGCCATCACCTTCCACTGGGCATGAGTGTCAGAGGAGTAAGGGCTGGGCATATGCCTTATAGCATCCTGGGATGGCAAGAAGTCAGTGCCATTGACACATTCCCTGTGCCACTCATCAGGGGCTTCCTTTCCCCACCACCCAGGAATCAAGCATGTCCCGGCATGGAGGTTGCAATCCCTTGGGGGTTGCCCATTTGCCATGGTTGGAGTGGTGGACCTATGAGGAGACTCCATAACTTCCTCACCCCGGCCCGGGACCCTGCATTTTGATTTTGCATTGGGCCCCACAAATCATGCAGTCGGCCCTGGTGATGGGCATAGATTGTAACACACGGAATAAAATAGGAATCTGTAAATCATACTGACATATCATTTCTGCAATATTCCTACCAAAAATTTATAACCTGAATGTATCTAATCATGAGGAAGCATTAAACAAACCCAAATTAAGAAGCATTTTATAAAATTAACCAGTGTTCCAAAAAAAAAAAAAAGAAGAAGAAGAAGAAGAAAAAAACAAGAAAGTAATGAAAGGCAATGACTGAGGAACTACTCCAGAATAAATGAAACCAAAGAGACACAACAACTAAATTCAAATGTGATCCTGGATTAGACTGAGAGCAGGGGGAAAAAATTGTCTCTTGCTCTGAAGAACAAGAAGGGGCTTAGTAGAATTTGAATAAATCTGAGATTAGATAATAATATTGTATTAATCTTAACTTCCTGATCTTGATCATTACACTGTATTTGGAAATAGAATATCCTTACTTTTAGGACTTGCACACTGAAATACTTAGGGGTAAAAACCTTCGCATGAGCAACTTATTCTCATGGGCTGAGAAAAACAATGAGTATGTTTGTGTATATATACCCACATACATAAATATGGAGAGAGGAGAGAAAAATTAAATTGAACATAGTAAAATGTTAACATTTGTGGAATCTGGGTAGAAGGTATGTAAAAATTCCTTTTATTATCTTTGCACCTTTTAAGTCCAAAATTATTTCAAAATAATAGTTTAGAAAGTTCTGGCCAAGATGGAGGCATAAGTAGATATACTTTTCCTCCTCACACAACCAAAAGAAGTATAACAACCAATTTAAAAACAAATAACAATCAGAATTGCCACAAAATCAAACCGTATGGAAGTCCGACACCCAAGGAGTTGAAGAAGAAACATTCATCCAGACCAGTAGGAGGGGCAGAAATGGGGAGGGCAAGCAACAGGGCTGCGGCTGGCAGACCGGGATATCCCACATTCACGTGTGGATAAGCTGTGAGGAACAACTCGGGAGTGAGACAAACCACACAACTCAGGGTTCCAGTGTGGGAAACTAAAGCCTCAAAACCTCTGACTGTAAAAACCTGTGGGAGTGGTGGCAGCAGGAGAAACTCCTAGTCTCACAAAAGAGTCTGTTGGAGAGACCCACAGGGTCCTAGAACGTCCACAAACCCACCCACCCAGGAATGAGCACCTAAAAGGACACAGTCTGTTTGTGGGAAGTAATGGAAAGTGGGGCAAGAGCCCAGTAAGCTAGCAAGTGGCATTGTTCCCTCTCTGACCCCTTCCCCACATACAGCGCTAAAATGCAGCGAAGAGGATGGCTCTGCCCTAGTGAGTACCTAAGGCTCCACCCCTTACACTGTAACAGGTGCACCAAGAGAAAGAAATATGGCCCAAATGAAAGAACAGATCAAAACTCCAGAAAAAGAACTAAGTGATGAGGAGACAGATAATCTATCAGATACAGAGTTCAAAACACTGGTAATCAGGATGCTCAGAGAAATGATTGAGTACAGTTGCAAAATAAAGGAGGAAATGAAGGCTATACAAAGTGAAATAAAAGGAAATATACAGGGAACCAACAGTAAAGGGAAGAAAACCAGGACTCAGATCCATGATTTAGAACTAAAAGAAGAAATAAATAACCAACCGGAACAGAATGAAGAAATAACAATTAAAAAAAATAAGGAGAGGCTTACGAACCTCAAAGACAACTTTAAATGTTCCAACATCTGAATCATAGGGGTGCCAGAAGGAGAAGAGGAAGAGAAAATTGAGAACTTATTTGATAAAATAATGAAGGAGAAATTCCCCAATCTGGTGAAGGAACTAAACATGCAAGTCCCATGCTCAGAGAGTCCCAAGGAAGTTGGATCCAAGAAGAAACACACCAAGGCACATCATAATTAAGTTACCCAAGATTAAAGATAAGGAGAGAATCTTAAAAGCAGCAAGAGAAAGGGAGACAGTTACCTACAAAGTAGTTTCCATAAGACTATCAGCTGATTTCTCAAGAAGGGTCTGGAAAGAAGTATTCAAAGTCATGAAAAGCAAGGACGTACAACCTAGATTACTCTATCCAGCAAAGCTACTATTTATAATGGAAGGGCAGATAGTGCTTCCCAGATAAGGTAAAGTTAAAGGAGTTCATCATCACCAAGCCCTTATTATATGTAATGTTAAAGGGACTTATCTAAGAAAAATACCAAAACTATGAACAGTAAAATGACAACAAACTCACAACTATCAACAACCGAACCTAAGAAACACAAACAAACTAAGCAAACAACTAGAACAGGAACAGAACCACAGGTTATCAGTGGGGAGGGAGGCGGGGAAAGGTACAGAGAATAAGAAGTATAATTGTTAGGCACAAAATAGACAGGGGGAGGTTAAGAATAGTATAGAAAATGGAGATACCAAAGAACCTATATTTACATGACCATGGACATGAACTAAGGGGGTGGGGGAAATGCTGGAAGGATAGGGGGTGCAGGGTGGAGGGGGAGAAAAGGGAGAAAAAAATGGGACTATAATAGCATAATCAATAGAATATACTTTTAAAAAATAATAGTTTAAAAAAACATTTTGAAGTCTCTTCAGAAAATCCCCAGGATCAAATCTAGTGGCCCACTTGACCATCTTTTTCTTGGCTTTCCCCTCTCTTTTTCTTCCTCTATTCTACTCTCCTGATTTTGGGGTTCGAATGGATTTATGATGAGACTGGAGAAACTACCAGCTGATTACGTTAACTGGAAGGCCCTGATGATATACCTTTCACTGGGACACTGGTGAGGATGAAAATGCATTGCTGAGGAGAATACTGACATCTTTGAAAGCTCAGTGGTGGTTGTCCTTTATGGACTGAAATTGACAGACGCTGCTGCTGCAACAGGGCTCTCCAGAATCAGTCGGTTTCCAAAAAGCAGATGATAGGGCACAACTACTACACAGCAACCAGAGTGTCTTGGCTAATAGGGATCTGTGGCAATGACTAACAGATTCATGGTAGCCTTTTATTTTTATTCTTATTTTTAAAGGGGGGAGGGAGGAACAGGGAAACATCAGTGGTTGCTTCTTAAGCACCCTCACTGGGAACCCAGCCTGCAATCTAGACATGCTCCCCGATTGGGAATCGAACAAGCAACCCTTTGGTTCACAGGCCAGCACTCAGTCTACTGAGCCACACTAGCCAAGGTTGACTCATGTTAGCCTTTTAAATTATGTAATTAAGTGCTTTTTAATATATTCAAAAAGTTGTATGCTCACCTCTAGGTAGCTCTAGAACATTTTCATCACCCTATTTTCATTACCAGTCACCCCTATACCTTTCCCCTAGTCCTTGGCTGCCTACATTGTCTCTATGCATTTGCCTGTTCTGGACACGTCATATAAATAGCATCTCTTATGCCCAGCTCCTTTCACGTTTTCAAAGTTTATCCATGTGGTAGCATGTATCGGTATTTCATTCCTTCTTATGACTGAGCAATATTCCATTGTGTGGCTATATCATAACTTATTTACCCATTCACTAAGTGGTAGACATACGGGTTTTTCCTACTTTTGGGGGTATTATGTACCCAAATGTAGTGACGTTATGTAAGTTTGTGTACAAATGTTTTGTGTGGATATGTTTTTAATTCTCAGGTATGTATCTAGAAGAATCGTTAGGTCATATGGTAACACTGTTTACTCTTTTGAGGAACCACCAAACTGTTCCACAGCAGCTACAAGGTTTCACACTTCCACCAGCAGTGTATCAACGAGGTTTTAATTCCCCACACCCCTGCCAAACACTTTCTGATTGTAATCATGCTGATGCATGTGAAGTGATATCTCATTCTGGCTTTGATTTGAATGACTTCAGTATCTTTACTAGGAAAAAAAAATCAATTCATCCTACTAAACTAATGCATCCTTCTCAAAAGAATTAAAAGCAATTCAATTTAACTTAATGTTAAATAGATGATTATTCCTTGGATATAATAGGATTATGTATTCCTGCCCATTGTCATGTGACTTGACTATGCAGTCTGTGGGAAGAGTCTGTTCCTGCCATTGACTTTGGGCTTGATTAGATAGCATGCTCTAAACCAACAGAATGTGAAGAGATGTGTCATTTGCCACAGTTGAGCACAAATTTATAATCTATGTTTCCTCTGTTTCTTTCTCTCAATCCTATACGCTGCCTTATCTCAGACAGGGGCTGCTCTTTGAGACTGGTCCCACAATGAGAAGACACTAACAGAATCCTAGTATACCTGTAGCCAAGCAATACCAAGTCTGTCAGATAGTTGATATTAGTACATTAATTAAAATTTTTATATATTTTATATGCCTAAAAGTCTCTAACGCTCATGAAACTGTTAGATGTGTTGATTAAATAATGTATGCATGGTTAATTCAGCATTCATTTTTGTACTGTTTCGATTTTTTAATGAACATACTACTTTTGTAATTCTTTCCTCACTTTTTTAAAAAAAACTACCCATACTGACCATTCACATGGATAGCTTAAATTTTAATGAATTTACTTTTCAAGGAAAAGAAATCAATAAAAATGTTTATTTTTAAAAAATGACTTTAGTTTTTAAAAAGCACTTTGTACATATGTGATTACATTTGTAACTTATTGAAAATACCAAGTTTAAGATTGTTAGGTTAAAAAGTAGTATCAAAAAAATACAAAAAAAAGAAAAAAGAAAACAAAAGTAGTTATCAGTTCTTAGCAACCTCAAAACAACCTTTAACTATGTAATAGCTTCATAACAAATTAACTCCTCCCTAACCACCATTATTAATGCATATTTTCTTAGGTTAAATAGATTTGTGTCATTATTTGCCACTCTATATAACACCATATACCCCTTTAAAATCTCATTTGATCTGAGTCACCCTAATTCTCAATTTACTCCTCCATTCTTCCTGGAATGAGAACAGGCTCGAGTTGAAAGACTGATGAAAGCTAACGGTAGGCTAATGGAGAGGCATTCTGCCTGAGGTGATTAACTTGATTCATTTCATCTACAAACACTACAGTAAACACCATTCCCGGCTATTTTATAGATATAGTCTAGACTGTCACCCGTGATATTATATATGCTTCATTCCCAGAAATCTAAACGTCTACTAGGGAACAAAGTAGCTCTAAAGACATTCATTTTTGCTTAAAATAAAATTACTAATCTGTCCTAGTGAAAAAGACATAAAATGGCAAATAAAAGTACGGTGAACATTGAGATCGACAGTGCTAGTTTTAAAAATCATCATCTATGATTTATTTATGTTTAAAATATATTTGAGAAGACTTTACAAGACTACTTATAGTCATGTATAGTTTCAAAGGAACTTTAAAAAAATTACAGTTTAACTCCATGCAGTATTTTTTTTAACTTCTCTTCTCTTCTGATTCCTCTGCAAATTTCAATTTCTCTTTTAATTCCTTCTGATCTCTGGAATATTGTTCAAATATTGGTTGAAAAATATATATTCCTCCAGCAACTCCAAGAATGCTGGCAAAAAGTAGTTGTGGAAGAGTCAATCTCCCAAACATTTTTCGACAAATGCCACACGGTGCAAAGATGTTTTGAAAAATTATACTCCACTCAGGAAATCTCTTCAGATCTGTGTGCAAAGAAAATGGAAAACAGAGCAATAAGTTAGAACAAGATTCTTTTTAAAGATTTCATGTTGCTGTTTTGCTCCTGAGTGAACAGTTTTTGTCATAATATTTAAATATCACTTACTGGTTAAACCAAAATAGTTTTTATATATATATATATATATAAAATATATATATATTTTATACATATATATTTTTATACATATAAATATATATATTTAAGGAGTATGGAAAAGACAGGGGATGGTGTAAAACAAAGCTAAATCCTATTATAGAATGTTCTCAATGGTTTAAAATGGATAATCTAAAAGGGCAGAAGTGGGACAAGGTCCAGCCATAGTTTTTATGCCTTTAAAGACATGCCAGTCCAATCTGGAGGTAGGAGATAGAGAAAACGGTACTTTTCACTATTAGCCCGTCTTTATTATCTTCTATTTTTTGGAAATACGTATTACATATGATTACAAACAGTAGTTTTTTTTAAAAAAAAAAAAAACAGACTAGTCCTGTTGTGCCTCGGTGGATGAGAGCCAGCCTGTGAGCCAAAGGGTCACAGGTTCAATTGTTCAATTCCCAGTGAGGACACCTGCCTGGGTTGCAGTCTAGGTCCCCAGTAGGGAGCGCTCGAGAGGTAACCACACACTGATGTTTCCCTCCCTCCCTCCCTTCACCTCTCTTTAAAAATAAATTTTAAAAAAAATTTTTTTAAGGCTAAAATTTTTTAAGTTCCCTTTGATCTTTTTATTAAGTACAAGTAGACATCAAATGTAAATCATTTGACATCCATTTTTGACAAAAATACAACAGAGATTTGGCTGGTTTTACTTCTAACAACAGAAGTTAAGACTCTAGCACTTCTTAAAAAGTTATACTCTTTGCCTCTATACTTCACAGACATCTTAGTCTCCAGAGAAACTAGGTAGGTGTTTATGAATGGGGACAGCAGAGCAAAGAATTTACATGTTTTCATTACTATAACAGTATTTCATAGCCTCCTAGATCAATCTTGAAGGTCACAAAAATCATTAGGGGCAGAACTGATACTGGAAACTAGCTTGCCCTTAGTCACTAAAATGTAATTTAAACTAATCTGGGAAGGAAAACACCTGTTTTCTCCCAGACTCTACCATTAACTAGATATATGACAATGTCACTAAGCATGTTAAGTGTTAAAAAGGAAGGAAAAAAAAAAAAAAAAGTCATTTGCTCTTTGGAAAATTGGTAATTAAACCATACCAAAAATAAGAAAGTTATTCTTCTGCCACTAGCTGGCTAACTGACCCTGACCAAGTCATTTTATCTTTTAAACCTCATTTTCCGTATCTGTACAACGGCCTACCCTGCCTACCTCGTTCAACAAATAGTTATTGTGTGATCACCCCAACATGTTTATAAGTATCATTACAGGCATACCTCGGAGATATTGCAGATTTGGTTCCAGAGCACCATAATAAAGAGACTATCACAATAAAGCAAGTCTCACAATTTTTTTTGGTGTCCCAGTGCATATAAAAGTTACGTTTACACTATAATGAAGCACGTTAAATGGGCAATAGCATTATGTTTAAAAAACAATGTACATACCTTAACTTAAAAATACTTTATTGCTAAAAAATGCTAACCATCATCTGAGCCTTCAGTGAGTCGTAATCTTTTTGCTGGTGGAGGGTCTTGCTTTGATGTTGATGGCTGCTGACTGATCGGGGTGGTGGTTGCTAAAGTTTGGGGTGGCTGTAGCAATTTCTTAAAATGAGTAAAAAATGAGGTTTGCTGCTTGGATTGACTCTTCCTTTCACGAAGGATTTCTCTGTAGCATGCGATGCTATTTGACAGCATTTTACCCACAGAAGAACTTCTTTCAAAATTGGAGTCAATCCTCTCAAATCCTGCTGCTGCTTTGTCAACTAAACTTATGTAATGTTCTAAATCCTTTGTTGTCATTTCAACAATCTTCAAGGCTTCTTTGCCAGAAGTGGATTCCATCTCAAGAAACCACTTTCTTTGCCCATTCACAAGAAGCAACTCCTCATCTGTTAAAACACTTGCTGTTTCACCTTGTGCTTTTATGTTACTGAGCCGGCTTCTCTCCTTAAACCTCTTGAACCAACCTCTGCTAGCTTCAAACTTTTCTTCTGCAGCTTCCTCCCCTCTCTCAGCCTTCATAGAATTGAAGAGAGTTAGGGCCTTGCTCTGTATAAGGCTCTGGCTTAAGGGAATGTTGTGGCTGGTCTGATCTTCTATCCAGACCACTAAAACTTTCTCCATATCAGCAATAAGGCTGTTTCGCTTTCTTATCATACGTGTATTCAATGGAGTAGCACTTTCAATTTCCTTCAAAAACTTTTCCTTTGCATTCACAACTTGGCTAACTGTTTGGCGCAAGAGGCCTAGCTTTCGGCCTATCTCAGCTTTTGATAAGCCTTCCTCACTAAGTCTAATCATTTCTAGTTTTTGATTTAAAGTGAGAGATATGCGACTCTTCCTTTCACTTGAACACTTAGAAGCCATTGTAGGATTATCAACTGGCCTAATTTCAATATTGTTGTATATCTGGAAATAGGAAGGCCTGAGGATAGGGAAGAGTACCAGAGGAAGGCCGGCGGTGGAGCAGTCAGAACACCAACATTTATCAACTAAGTCCGTCTTCTATTGTGGGCATAGTTCGCGGCACCCCAAAACAATGACAATTGTAATGTAGACGATCACTGATCACAGGTCACCATAACAAATACAACAATAATCAAAAAGTTTGAAATGTTGCGAGTTACCAAAACGTGACAGTGAGACACAAAGTGAATAAATGCTGTTGAAAAAATGGCGCTGATGGACTTGCTCCTCTTAGGCTTGCCAGAAACCTTCAAGTTGTTTGTTTTGTTTTTTTTTTAAAGAAAAAGAAGAAGAAAAAAAAAAAAAGCCCGCAATATCTGCGAAGCGCAATAAAGCAAAGCGCAACGAAACGAGGTATGCCTGCACTATCACTATTACCATTCAGACATCTCCCACCGTTCAGCTCTCACTCCAAGTCACTGACCCCGCCTCCCGCCTGTCCCTCCGAAGGTGATATCCGCTCACTCCAGCAGTTTCCGGATCCCGCGGCTCACGGACCGCCAAACCAGAGGCCGCAGCAATCCGCGACAGAGGAAAACGCCTACGGGAAAGTGCGTGCAAGCCCTAGGCTGAGTTTAGGTGCCCCAATCAAACCTGCAGCTCTCGGCTGCGAAGTCACCACCTTTGGAAGTTCGCGACAGTTGCCCTTTCCCGGCTCCCTCTGCGCCGGCCCCGGACGGCTGCTCGCAAAGGCCAAACTTAGTGAGTCCAAAATTAGTGCGCGCTGCGACAGCCTACCTCTACGGAGGAAGGTGGTGGCCCCGGATTCTCAGAGGTCCAGCAGTATGGAGCGAGAGCCCAGAGACGGAAGCCTCTTTTTCCGCCGTCTCCGGAGCCGCTCCCACGAGAAGGTGAAGCTGCGAAAGAGAAAGTCAGTCCTGTACCTGAGAACCGAGAAGAGCTCGGAGCCCCGCGGAGGTGAGTGAGGAGAATGAGGACGCCCAGGGAAAGGTAGTGGCGGGAAGTCGCGGGCTCGGTGCGAGGGCTCCACCTGCTGGATGGGGGTGCCAAGAAATCGAAGTGCCCTGGAGATAGGGCGCTCCACCCCTGCCGCTTGCACGGCATTGTATTGTGCATCGGGTAGTGCCGCCTTCCCCGCAGCCGTGTTAAGTGACTAGGCATGATGCGGCCATCCTATTTTATACGGGCCACCCAGGCCAGGCGTTACCTAAGGTTTAGCAGCGGCGAGGGGCCGATTCCTGGAGAGGGACCCCGTCCGATCCCGCCATATTTCATTTGCCCCCTCTGCGTTCTCTTTGGTCAGGATGTGCTGTTGGCAGGAGAATAATTACCCCAGCAAGTTGCGGGGAGCGGGGGATTTAATATAAAGATGGACTTCTCATTCATTCAGTAGTTATTGACTGTAGCCCTTTATGTGACAAGGGCAGTATGGGCCGTATAAAATGAATGCCTAAAATGAACTCTGGAAACCTGAGACCAATAAAAAGGAAACCTAGAAATTCAATAAAAATTAAGGCATTAATAAATAAGTAAATTTTTAAGAAAAGAAAGGGGAAATCTTTTTGCTAACTGAAAAGCGAGGGTGGGAGGAGTGTGACCGGGCATGGGGGATGGTGGGGAGGAGAGCCAGCTGGGCCCCAGCCCTCTTGCTTCCTTCCCCTAACCCACAGCTTGTTAGAAGTTGGGTGCCGGCAAGGTAACGGTTAGCAAGGACAGTAAATTACCATACTTTTAACAGGCTTACATTTGGACTTTTAGGTATTCAAGATCAGTTGTTCAAGGGCCAGTTCTATTTTTTTCTTCTGCCTCAGTCCACAGAGAAAAGGCAGGGAGGTGGGGACAACAGAGATAGTCCATTGAGCTTTCTTTTAGTGTTTCTGGAAAAGGAACGTTCAAATGGGGCATGTATGTTGTGTTGAATGTACCAGTTGTCCGAGAAACATTTAAAATGTGTTTGATGACAATAAGGGAGGAGACTGGCAGGAACCCAGAATGATAGCAAAGAATCACAGTGGATCAGAATTAGCTTGCAAACTCACATACTCAGGAGGTCAACACAGGCGAGGCAAAATAAGTCAGAGCACCCTATATTTCAGTACCAGTCAGTTGTTGCCAATTGAGTTCTGTGTTGCCAGATCTTAATTTTGAAATGCTGCAATAGAGAATGTAATATAAATTCTGAGTTTTTAAATTTTGGCAACTAAATTTAAATTTTTGAAAAAACACTCTGTATTTAGCCTAGCTGCTGTCCATCTATGGTTAAGAGCAGGGTGTTGGAGTCAGCAGATAGACCTAATTTTGAATCCTGTTGAGTCATTTACAACTTTTTGACTTTGGACAAGGCAATTTACTTCTCGGCCTCA